CTAAATTACTGCTTACTATTCCAGATAATTTAGGATTTTTCCCTAAAGTTTTCTTCCCCATGTTTTTCTGTCTGAGGTTTTTGACTGCAATGAAGCTGCACAGTACCAGAAATGATTTTGGAAGTCCTCGTCCTGCAGGAACATTAGCATATAGCTAAAACATCTGTGTACTCTATTGATGATTTTCACCAATCTGAAAAAGTCAAATGCTTCAAGCTTCCTCTTCTTCCCACCCCCCAAAAAGGATTTTCTTCTTTTTTTAAAAAAAACCAAACAAACAACAACAACAAAAAAAAAACAATGGGAAAAATTAGCTTCAAGTTTTGCCTTAAAATTGGTTCTCCCTCATGTTTTAACTATGGGCTGCTGTGGGCTTGAAAATATCTGCACACCACTGTTTTAACAGAATTCTGGGATATGTTACTAATAAAAAGCTAAGTTGTAACTGCTCTCCTGGAATATAACTTCCTTCACAGGGTCTTTTTCAGCCTCCTGTCAGCCAGATTTGTGAATCCAGGCCTGAAACAGTGAGCATCCATTTTCAAGATGAGAAAATACCATAATGACAAGAAATGGAAAAGTTAAACCACTTCAGATCTGCTCGCACCAGTGTGAGAGATGCTCATCTAAAAACGTGTGATTTCCTCTTTTACAAGTCAGTTAAGCTGGCAATAGCCATGACAAAAAGGAAACATTTTCTTCTGCTTCGGGCTCTGTATCAAACAGCAGTGGCACCCTTGTTTTTAGGAAAAAAGGAATCAATCAGTGAGCTTTATTCTTTTACTGACTAAATTTATCATGTTAGAATTTGTTCCTGAGAGAGTCAATCTCCTTAGCCTATTTTTACATTTTGCTTCTCTTTTAGATCCGCCTCCTCAATGCAGAGGTTGCTCCACATGCTGTTCTCACCAGTTCAGTAACATCCTCTACGTGATGAGAATTCCTAGTTCCTCATGGCTGGATGTTATACACATACTTGGCTGATCCAAACACAATATGAAACCGTTTCTGTGCAAAAACCAGATCAGTTTATTGCACAACGAGATGGACGGACTACAGTCCTCAACAACTCTTACAGAAGTTCTTTTAGTTTTCCTCTCCCCATCCTCAAGAGGAATCCAACTACAGATGGACTTTGTTGCACTCACAGGCTTTAATGTTGATACAAAATTTTTAATCAGAAAACAAAGAACAGGTTTCTGAACTCTTAATCATGACAGCTTTAGATTTTTGTTGTTGTCTCCATGTGTTTCTTGTAGATATTTTAATGCTTTTTAGGATCTCTTCTGCTACTGGGTACACTCAGTCATTATTTCTAGACCCCCTACCTATACCACTCATACTTTTTGATTCAAATGTTTGTTTTCTTAAATGGAAGAGATACTCAGTAAAGCATATACAAATTGGGGGAGTACTAAATAATTTTGTGTTTTCTTCCTCATATTTTTATTTCACTTTCCTGCTTTGTGATTTGATTATGTTCTGGTTTTTAAAAATTAGTTTTTCAGACACACGAACTTATTCCTATGGCCTCACTTTCTTACAACAAAACACAAGATTTAACAAATTCATTTATAGCAGAAATAGTGGAAAAACCTCAAGACAGATTAGAACAAGCCAGGGCCCATCATGGATGTTGCCCTGTTATCTGGTCACAGTGTAGAAGAGTCCCACGGAAATATGTAAGGAGAAAGGAGGCAACCAGAAGCTAAATTCTCTGCTAGTGAAAGCCAGGCAACAGTAAGTCAAGGTCATCAGCCTCTTCTCCTACAGCCTAGAAAGGGGTATACTAAAAGAGCATTCACAGCAGCACCAAAGTTACAGTGAACAACAACCATCAAAACATTTTTTGTGACTGTTTTTGGTAAACAAGCTTCAAAACCACTGAAGGAAAGCCCACGCAATCCTACAACCTCCAACCACAGCCAATGCCTGTTTTCTTGCTGCAACAGAACAGCAATCCCAGAATATCATATCTTAACATTACAAAGAGGAAAATAGTGCTTAGAGAGTTAATGCAATCTGACAGTACCTTAAGGTACCATTTAATTACTGCATTAAAAAGCAATCACCAATTTCTAAGTAAACAAACCATCAATAGACAGCTGCTCACTTACATTTGAAAAATGTCCTTTCATAGGAGACTGTTTGTCTTGCATACCTGACAACTAAAAATATAGTTATACTGGATTATTGAAAAAATTGAGTATTACAAATGGTTTACAAGCCAGTCTTTTAACAATAGTGCCTTCATGTGTTTATTATAGGCATTTTCTTATTTTAAAGCTAAGATTCAGCTGGTTTATAGTTGTAATTCTGTCCTCCTACACATCCACAAGCAAATTAGGTCAATCCCAAACTATTTGTAAAACCTCCTACACAGAAAGGAGTTTGAGATTTTAAAACATACAAAGTTTAAAATAAACAGTCAACCTACCAGTGTCTTAAACCTTGTGAACTGCCAATTTTTTTGTTCTAGCCTAATAAGGTATCCTAAAGTAGTATAAACCACGATGTGAGAATGACTGTCCTTGGCCATAAGTTGCAACCATATCATGTTTAATAACATTTTAATAATGTTTATTATATAAGTTCCCCCAATTAACTTCTAAACTTACTTCTACATTTGGCATCTGTAGCATCCTGTGGCAATGAGTTCCACTGTGTAATTACGTGCTGTGTGAAAAAATGTTTATTTTAAACCTACTGCTGCGTAAGAGCTGGAAGTCTTTAAAATTGTGTTATAAGAAATGATGAATAGTCATGCTCTGCCCATCTTCTCCATAACATTCGTAGCTTTATAATCCTCTTGTGTTTCTTCTAAACCCATCTGTTTTCCAAGCTGCAGAGTTCTAACCATGCTGTTCAGCTATAGATATCTCTTACCCCACATAACCTGGTTTATCCTGGTGTTTGCAGATCATTTTCCAGACTGGTCATGGATGTCACCATAAAATTATAATGCATCTTCAAGATCTTTTTTTTGAATAGTAACAATTTAGACTGCCATGCATGTTAGTTAGCCAGTTCCCTCCCACAAGCATTATTGTATAATACTGCATGGTTAATACACTTGCCATTTTATTAATTTGTTATCTTGTATTATCTTCCTATAACTAACTGTTCACGCTCACAGATTTAGAGGGTATTGTGAATGGTGTATGAGTACAAGCTGTTATTTTGCTGTTTAGCCCTTTCACAGACTTATTAGAGCAGCAAAGATCTCCACACAGATCCCTGTAGGAGTCTATTCTCATCTTACGATAATTATCCTCTGAGTCTATTCTCAGCTTATGATAACTATCCTCTGAGTCTATTCTTAGCTTATGATAACTATCCTCTATTCTTATATTTTCCTTTTTTTTTTCCCTATCTTAAAAAGTTATTAATCTGAGAAGGCTTCTCTCTTACCTTTGAGACCATCTTGTTTCTTCAAGAAGTTTTGGCAGCAGCTGTCTTGAATGGTTAGTTCATGTCTATGATGGTTAGTTCATATGGGATATGTACTTCTAACATGACCACAAACTTGCATCCAGCTACTTACAATCTGTTTACAACAATCATATTTGTTCTTCATACTTTATATTTTCCATGTAAATGTTCATTTTTTGTATTTATAAGCACACATCTCATTTGATTCTATGACAGTTTTAATTAACTTTGATAAGGACAGAAATAAAACTTTCTGGGGTGTAGCTTCATGCAGGTTATGCTACATTTCCAAATTCAGTGATTATGTATTTGAGTTACTCCAGCCCTGTTGGGTGTACCCTGATGAGTCTAGGCAATTTGTTTTTAATAATTTTAATCAGCTTGTTCTAAAAGTTCTTCCACTAACACTTAAATTTGAAACAGACCATCTTAAGTATGGGCAGGAAGCTTCATACACCCTATATAATTAACACAAATGCAAAAAGAGTCTTTGTAAGATTTGGTGCTAAAGATTTATCTTCTACTACTGTTCTCATGTCTTGATCCTTACTGGGCCTGGAGGCTATTAGGTCTGTTGCTTCTGATGTGCCTGAAGAGTTTCTCAAAGCTCTTTCTGTGCCAGTCTTCTGGATTTCAATGACTTAGTTTTGCATCCAAATGCTTTCCACATTTGGTTACAATTTCTACTTTATGAAGTCTCTCTTCACCTGTTACAGTTTTCTCTCCTTTGCAGTTTAACAATTCTGAGTTTGTTTTTTTTTTCCCCTCCTTGTGATCGATGGCAGATATTTACTCTATGATTTAATATGGTAGCTCTTGATACCACTAAAAGCTTTATTCTTTCAGGTGTTCCTTTTAACAATTTCCTAACAAGCTTGCTCCCCTAGGTGTAGTTTTCTCCGTAAGATGTTACTGCAATATATTTTACACTTGCTCTTAAAACAGTATGGATATCTTATTCATTATAGTTACTCTTGTTGGAGAGCTCAATAGTAATTTCACCTTAAGCTATGTCTTGTACACATTTGTCAAGAGCTACTCCTCTTGTCAGCTGACAGCTTATCACAAACGCCAATATATTGTTCTTCACTTCTACATTTACTGAGTCTTCATAAGCTGAGTCTTCATAAACATAACACAACTGTGTAATAACTGGAAATGTTTCTTCCCTCAGCATCTTACCTCTTTTAGCACTTCACAATAATGCTCCATCATGGTCAACAGTCTAACCCTCACCATATTTTAATCTATTTGCACACAAATTCAAACCATAAGTGTACTTTCTTGTCTAGACAATATACAGCTTTGACCGTAAACCCTAACATACAATAACGCATCGCCCAGAGTACAGTTTGCATTCTCATCTCTATGTAAATGTTTGCCCTTACACTAACACCCTCCTGTAACAATTTTCTGAGATGCCAATTATGCCAATATCTGGATTTCAAACCAGCATTTCAGCTCTCACACTCAATTTTTCCCATTTCAGATTTTCTCCAGAAGCCCATCTACAACTTCTCCTGGTCTGTCTAATACTTTATAAAGAGAAGCAAGCAGTAAATACATACATGACGGTGTTAATCCCTGACAGCTGTTGAAACATCTGCAGACCACAACCCACAATTAAGGCTCTTCGAGTTGGAGGGTATGTTAGCATTCTGCAGATCACAGGTCCAGCTTAAAAACAAACAAAACACACACAACAAAAAAAAATATGTGATAGTTCTTAAGTGAGTGCTCTCAAGACAATGTTCCCAGGCATAACAGGCTTTGCACCTTAGTTTCAAACACACTTGGATTGTTTCAATTATTTCTGAACAACTTGATCATTTCACTTCTGCTTTTCTACACAGTACTACAAAGATAATTTTCAGGAAGCCGAGGCAAAAAAATGAAACCGTTTTGTAGACAGTGTATAACTCTCCTATATCATACTAACAGATTGAACATCTGCTGCGACTGAAGGTACTCAAAGTTATCACAAAATATCACTGTTGTTTTCTTTCTAAAAAATCCAGTGTTACTGAGCGGTTATTTCAGAAATGCCATGACCCACTGCTCAGATCTGGATCTTGAAGATACAGTGTTCTCCCTAGTCCCCCAGAGACCCAACTTCCACAAACCAACTGCAAGTGTGGGTGCTTTGAAGGTATGGGGTAGATCTATTCTGCACAGCTGTAAGGCCAGCAGAGAGAGCATAAATTATTTTTTTTCCCCCCATACTTTTGGTAGCAATGGTATAAGGCTGTATTCAAAAAAGCAGAAAACAGTGTCTCAATGAAGAGAAATGCAAAAATTTCTGTCAGAGAAGTTTTCTTCCCTGTTAATTTTGGGGTTTTTTTAAAGTAATACATCAGGCAAAACTTTAAAATACTTGTCTTCATTATTTACTTGAATTTATTCCTGTCCAAAGTGGTACCTGAGGCAAGCATAGTCAGGTGAAAAAATCTGCGTTTTATACATCTTACCACATCTGCTATACCGAATAGAGATCACAATAGCTACAAGTCAAAATAGTTGGAAAAAAGGTGAAAAGGATCTACATTTTTATGTCTTCAAAGTCTTTCCTGAACATACAGAAAATATTAAATGTACTGATTCTGTATAAAACCCTGTATGGGTCTGTTAGCAAAGAACGATTTACATGCAAAGAGTTTAAACATCAGAAAGCTGACAATCTGTGAACAGTTTCAAGAGTGGAACTCAAGAAGGGGGTTTGATAACATTTTCTTCATTGAAAAATAATCAGACCTACCTAAGACAAAACTTGTTTTCATAAAAAATATGGCATTTGGAATTCATATCTCAACTGTATCATCACTAAGCTTTGCATATTTATTAGTAACAGCAGAATGCAGTCTGACAAATTTTCCAGCTGTACATTCAGACAGTACATCCCACCTGTCCTGCCATACAGACATATCACTACCTTCAAAATGTCTTTGAGTAAAATCAAGTGACAGATAAATAGAGCCAATCTATGTATCTGACAATATATTCTCAAGCAAGACACATACACATTACTGGGTAGACGAGTATATCAAAGGGTTCAGC